CACACACACACACACACACACACACACACACACACACACACACACACTAAAGCTGGCTGGCTAATCTGGAGCAAAAGGCTCAGCTCTGAAAATAATTCATGAAGAAAAGAAGATCTGAACTCCCCTTCCACTGTTTGTCTCCCTGTGCGTCTGTGTGTACATACTGTAAATGCACACATGCACGGAAGACGACTTAACACAGTGACGCGTTTTGAAATCTTCATACACAACATATATGATAATGTCTCTATTCACAGGGTGCCACACAGATCTTTGCATTATCTCCTTTGTCACATTCAAATACAGGAATACAACACGACACTTTCACTGGAAAAAAACGCAATTCAAGAGCCGTTCCCTCCTATGTTCTATAGCTGACTGTGCTGCTATACTATATGTCAAAAAAACATTTGTTAATGGCAGCGTGGTGCTGAGAAATTAGGCACCATCAGCTGGCAGCTTCTGCACCGGGAGCCCAGACAAGCTAATCCCAATACAGCTTCTGCCTCAGCACAACCCTAACTCCTCACGCTGACAACACAGACGGTCAATTATTCAGAGATTATACCTTCTCCAAGTCAGACACCAAAGGCACAGCCAGGACAAGGGCAGCAGAAAGAGGGCTGCGAGTGTTTTACATGAATGCAATTGTCTGTGTGTGTGTGTAGTAGTCATCTGCAGGCTTTCTGTGCAACCGGGCAGGCTATCTGTCTACAGGAAATCAATCAGAGACCTTTACAACAAACAAGCAGCACCTTACACCCTGCAGAGCGAGCAATATCGAAACTAAAGTATCTGACACAATTATGTGTGAAGTAATGCGATGTACACTAGACTAAATACAAATCTCAGCAAATGAGTGCCAACAAAACCCAGAGTTGCTATGGTAACTAGGAAAATGGTTTGCTACACGGTAGTAGTTGCCCTACACACACACACACACACACACACACACACACACACACTCGTTCTAGTGCAAAAGTATGAGCTCTGTTTCTCCAGAAACCTCTCCCACGCACGGTGCAGAAGAAGCCTCTATGGAATCTGTAGGTTGCCATCATTAGCTCAGTATCTCTGATACATTATCTCCGTCCATCGTTGTTACTAGTCTGAGATAAAAACCCACAACTTCTCTCTCTCCCCAAACTCTTTTCAGACAGCGATGCTGAATCTATAACGGCCACTAACATGATAAACGAGCTGCCAAACGGCCGAGCGATCAACGTGACACCACAGATGTATGACAGTACAGAGAGCTCCTACACTCTCACATACCTAGAGGCCCACTTAAGGATGCACAAACACCACCACTTCCTCCCTACACTTCTGCTTTCTGGGACCATGTTTTTGATATAAATGGCAATTTGGTTCCCAGCCCAACAGAAACACCCACCATCTCAGACCCATCCGAGTTTTTTACTCTTACACTTTCATCTATCGGAGGGAGCGTAGCCCTGATTCTGTACCTTGGCTGCGTGCTTGGGCTTGCGGAAGAACGAGGTCTTGGCCGTGAAGAAGGTGAAGTCTTCGCTCTCGTCATCCAGGCTGCAGTACCCGCTGCTCATGCTGTTACTGCTGGTCATGGAGGGGGTCAGCACTGTGTTGACAGTCATGGAGAGGTCCAGAGACGGTCCCCGAGCACCGGTGCAACACGTTGACAGGTTGAGGAAGTGCTGGTTTTATCTCCAAAAAAACGCAGGGGGCTGATGTGACACTCGGCCCACAATCAGAGTCCACGCGCGTCTAATTGTCCTTCTCTCATCCAGAAAAAGTCAGCGCTCCTCTGCTGATGCATCCAGAAGAGTTTAAGTCACGCCAGGGGGGGGGCGAGACAGGTGAACTCGGCTCAGATTCGGCGCTGTGCGTGCCACCGGAGAGGGGACCAGGAAATCCGAGAGCACAGAGTACAGGCTAGTCACTTCCTCCTGACGTGTGTGTGTGTGTGTGACGCCGGTGTCACAGACACACCATACAGTATATGCACCTGGTCACTTGCAGCTGAACATGCACACATGTACACACTCATACACAGTATGTAACCCTCTCACACACATAGGCACACACCGGTGTCCTGGAGTCAGCTTCCAGCTCGGTTTCAAGTTAACCCTGCTCAACCCGAGAGCCCCCTGTTATACCCACAATCCAACGCTCATAAAGGCATGCACGCAATACCACATCCTGCATTTCCTGTGTCTGTGTCTCTGTGACGAACCACTGCGAAGAAAACAATGAGCGGTTCAATTCAAGTCCGGCATTTATTTCTGTGAGCATCCATCCGTCCAGAGTAAACAGCAGCAGAAGATCTCTTGGCTGCAGCAACAAGACGCTGACAGACCCCTTAATCCCTCCTCTCTCCTCTTCTCGCCGATGCTTTGTCAATACTACAAGACAGACGGATGCCTCCCACTCTGCCTCTCTTTCTCTCTTCCTCTCCTCACTCTCTCTCTCTCTCTCTCTCTCTTTCTATCTGTCTGTGCGCCCGCTTTGCTCCCTCACTCTCTTGCAGCCTTGCTCAACCATCTGTGGTTGAGTGTGTTATCAGCTCCCTCCCCCTTCTCCCTCTACTCTCTATCTCTCTCTCTCTCTCTCTTCCTGCGAGCGACTGCACCCTGCAAAGCATGGCCACTTCCTCTTACACTGAGAGAGAGAGAGAGAGAGAGAGAGAGAGAGAGAGAGAGAGAGAGAG